CCAAACATATTGTTAGTTCTGTGAATTAATGACTCAAGTGAAAGTGTCTTCCCAATCAAATACATCTAAAATTATGGTAGAAATACAAAAGGTAAAAAAAAAAAACTTAGTTCTACCATAAAACCACCCCAACTTCTTAGTACATTCAGGATCTATCAGCATGAGAACTCAAGTACTAAGGGGATTAGGATTAGGATTATTTAGGAACTAAATATCAATGATTAAACTGAATAACTAGCAAATATCCATCTCATTTCATCAAGTGTAAAACCTGCATATTATGTTGTTGTGTAAATGAATCTGAGTTAATATGTAAGAGGTTAATTTGAAATAGAATAACTGACCTGAGGATCTTCATACTGAACTGCATTTCAGCTTCACTGCTGTTCAAACAGAATGCGGTCCACTACCTTTAAAATTATGTTTGCTTTTGTTCTCCTTAGAAGTAAATTGAACTTTGTAATTTTTAGTCCCCTCTCTTTGTGTGTCCATCTGTCTCCTCTTCCCTCTAGTTTGGTTGGTTCCTCTTTCTCTGGAAAGTGAGTTGCTCAACCTCATGGCTCCTCCAAACAGGATAACAGGCCACATACCAATTTGAACATAGAAGATATTTTGAGAAAAGTTTTGAATCAGTGTTGTGAAGCAATAATAAATGTTGTTCACCTGTTGATAAATTATTTAAACTACTTATGACTATTGTCATATCAAGACTCATATTGAACTGGTCAGTGTCAAAGTGTCCCCAAATGCTCACAATTTCCCAGAAACAAGAAGAGGAAGTTATTGAAATATTAGAAATTATTTTTTAAACATGTTTGTTCACCTTTAATACCCCATAATAGTAACAAAAGATTTTCTTTGCACATTGATCAAGGAGCTGCATGTTTTTCTAGGGTAAGTATGTGAGTGTGTGTATGTATAGGCCTATGTACAGAGGCTCAAGGAGGGAAAAAAAACACCGTAAAATAGTCTTGAACCACTTCCCAGCCCAGAACAAAAATTATGAGATTTTGCAAACTAGTTCCAGAGATATTTAATGAAGACATTCGAGAACTTATAAAGCTTGGCTCATGTTTTGCCTTAATCAGGGTGTGGCTATATGGGCACTGCCTCATTTGCCATGAGTTTAGCCCCAACAGCACTACTTTTGGAGGTGCATTTCCTGTGAAATTAATAAGCATATTGTAGCATTGTGCAGAGGATGAGTCACAAGAGGCCTTACTTTCTGCTTGGAAATGCTCTTTTATTTTAAACAAGGCAGTAAAGCCACTTAACACAACCATGAATAGCACAAAAGGTCAGTATTAACCATAGCTCCTCACTTTAAGGTAGGTAAAAACCCACTCTAAGTAACCTCACTGCCCAACACAGCATAACACATATAACACATTTAACATAACCTAAGCAAACAAATACACAACAATGTGTACTTGTTGATGCACTTTCCCTTTCTTAACGAGGCTGCACATCTCCCATGAGCCTCTTCTTATGGCCCATTTGCACACACGCTTGTGAGCTCCAATGACACTGCAGCCAGTGGTGGAATTTCTCTGAAACTGTTCATTTAATCTCTTAAAATCTCAGGCTTGTTACATACTAAGGCTCATTTACTCAGTAACTACAGACACTTCAGTGCAAACTGGTTGAGGCATAGAAACTTTGGGCCTAGTGGGCTTTATCCATTTAAAAGGTTAAAACCCTTTAATGAGATCCAGGGTGCAGCAGGTGGTATGATACACTTCAATATTATCTGTGATAACGTGTAAGCATTTAAAGGTTCTACATCTGACATTTTAAATATCAACATAGCAACAAACAACTATTTTTGTGTGAACATATAGTGCAGTAATGGCATCCTCACCGAATCTCCCTTGAAGTTGATGAGGCTGAAGTTGACTTCCTATTCGCATTTTCCTCTTTCACCATAAATCGTGCAGCAGTTCTATTCTCTGCCCAACGTGCCTGATAATGCAGTAACAGCTGCACCATTTAAGGTGGAACGGGAAAATTTTAATAAGAAGCTGACATCAGCTTCATTGAGAGTGTTGAACAACTTGAAAAGGGATGAGGAGGTTGCTCTGTTTCTGCTTGACAGATGGGATTAACATTAACTTATTTTTGCTGTTTCGCAGAACCAGTTGGTCAGTGTTCCTAATGTTTGTAATAGCAACTGGTTAGCTTCACCGCAGCAACTTTAGCTAGGTTTGCTAACCCATAACCTAGCTAATAGTAGTTACATTGCTTGCTGTGTTGTTGTTCACTCTGCTGTTATATCATGGTATTTGTCCTTACAATGTTTGTAAAGGGTTCTATGGCCACAAAGATAAAAAAAAAAAACAAGTTTGCTAGTCGAGTTTTATTCACCTTGTCAATGCATCCCTAAATTAGGGGGGTGGGGCTTTGTTTGGGGCTTTGAGGTGTATTTCCTTTGCTTCTTTGTTCAAATATCAACAGTTGTTCTCCAGAATTGTATACTGCACCTTTAATTTCCAAGAGAATCAATTAAAACTAGAAAAACCAATACACAATTATAGTGCTTTTGTGAAGCACTCTGAGAAAGATCATCATTAAGTTCTACTTCAAATTAAAATAAAACCTCTAAGATATTAGTGAGTCCTTGGGATAACATTTAGCCTCAAAGTGAGTTGATTAGACTTAATAAATAAATGCTTTAATAGATAAATGTTTTCCTCTACAATGGATAGACTGCTGGATTTATTCTGAGACAATGCAAATTTTAAAGAGTTACAAAAATGTAATTAAAATGTGTTTAGAAGATACAGAGTGCGCTTAAGGAAATAAAAACAAATAATTAAAAAAGGAAGTGCAAATTGTAGACAGATCATCTCAAAGGTATAGAAAAAATGTATGTTTAGTAATATAACATTTGAATTGTAATGCATCTAAGAAATGTTTTGCATGTTAATTTTGGGTTATGTGCTCTATAGCATGTGTTCACAGGGCTATTCTGCTAAGGACTCTTATTGTGAATGCCGGCCTACCAAGAAGAACTGGGTCAGTTGCAGCTTAATAAGTTTGTATATTTTTGTTGTTTTTCATTTTCTGACAAAATTTGAGAAAACCAGCTGCTCTTTACATTGCGTGAAAAACTGTCATGCACCAATGTATTAAAAATGCTCCAAATTTTATTTTTAACTTTAGTTTTAATGTAAGTCTTTACATTAACTTACATTAAAGTAAAGAACATTTTTGCCTTCTGTAAAGTTGCCATTTTAGAGATGTTTTTCTTTGAATTACTGATGATATGCTACATGAAAAAAGCAACAACTTCCAAACATATGATACCTATAACCACAACATTGCTTAAAAAACATCTTGTAATTTTTAGATCCTCTCTAAACAAGGAATTCTGTTTTAATGACAAATTGACAACCAAGTGCACAAATTTCACAGTATGCTTTACTGGAGACAAGAGTCAATGATATCTTTGACAGGAACTAACAAGAAAGTAAGCTGCTATTGACAGCCTAAGCAGTAAGTCCAATTTTACAACTCCATGGTGATGGTTGTGAATGTTTGTTTGAACTATATGGTTTAGCAGGGATAGAACTGTTCAGGTTTATAATCAGGGGTATGTTTATGGTGCAGAAGTTGCATGATTAAAATATACCTTCTGATTTTTTAATGAACCAATAAATGCATGAATCTAGTGCTTTTCCAGCACTCAAAACAATATAGAAGATTTTTCTGTTAAAGTCAAGAGCTGTAAGCTTGACTGCTTTTAATTAGAAGCTTGACTTTTGTACTTTTGATTTAAATACATCAGTTTAATCGCAACTTAAACCTCAGTCCGTAATCCTATTTACTTTTCTTACATAAAAAGGAACATTTATTATGAGCAGTCTAGAAAAGGGAACATATATTTTAAAAAACGTAACTGAAACTAAGAGGTTTTCAAAAACAAATAGCAACCAAAAAATTGTGCTTAAAACTTTAATGGAACTTTCACTGCAACTACTAGACAAGGCACAAGGACTTCAAACACTTTCCAAAACAACCACCATTTACACAAAAACTATCAATCTTGAATACTCAATACTAACAACCTTGCTCGTATATGTTGTGACATTTATTTACATTGTCATGTTCTTATATAAATTATATGGACCAAAATATTAGGACCCCCTTCCTAATTATTGGGTTCAGGTGTTTCAGCCACATCCATTTCTAACAGGTCTATAAAATCAAGCATATAGCCTTGCCGTCTACATGCACATATACTGGCAGTAGAGGGTCGTACTGATAAGCTCAGTGACTTTAAACGTGGCACTATCATAGGATGCCACCTCTGCCACAAGTCAGTTTGTGAAATTTCTGTCCTGCTAGATCTGCCCCAGACAACTGTAAGTGCTATTATTGTGAAATGGAAGCACCTAGGAACAACAACAGCTCAGCCATTAAACGGTAGACCATGCAAACTCAGAGTGCTTCCAGACTCCAAAATCTTGTAGAAAGCTTCCCAGAAGAGTGGAAGCTGTTAGAGCTGCAAAGGGGGGACCAACTCCATATTAATGCCTATGGATTTAGAATGGGATGTCATTAAAGCTCCTGTGGGTGTGTAGGTGTCCCAAGACTTTTGTCCATATAGCTCATATAACTTGCAGTGAATAGTTGCCATTAGAATAGCTATTTAGCTCTGTATGAATCATTACTTCTCCATCAGATTTCATTGGCCAATGGGCTAATTTTTTCATGGACATTTTGGAAAAATTACCTCACTTTAATGCATGCATTATCAAAAATTTTATGTTATATAGAGTAGACTAGATATTTGAATAACACCACTAAGGTTTGACCAAACTAGAAAGCGAACAACTCCTGTTATTACTGATTGTGGAATATCTTAACTGCTTTTACCATATCTTCCAAATATATAGATTGACTGCTGCAGAATGCATTACTATGTAGACTGGGTGGGTGGACCCTGTCTATCGGGCTGTAGGCTGGACTTGGGGAGGATTCAACACCACTTTGGTTTGTGTACATACTTTAGAAACAGCGTGAAACTACGATATGTTGTTTTAGCTATAAATCAGTATCTGAAATTTTGAAATATGAGCCATTCTATTTACTCTTGGAATGGTGTTCTGTTGTGTTCCTCAGTCATTTCCACTCCTGAAGTTTAGACTCTAGTAGTCTAAATTGGATTGATTAGTGTTGGGAATGAGACTCTGGTAGACTGAATCTGATTGATTGGTGTGGGGACTAAGACTCTGGGAGACTGAATCTAACTGGCATTGGGATTTAGACTGTGGTAAACTAAATCTGGTTCTCTACTTTGGGGGTCCAGGTGCTGGTAGGATGAATGTGATTGGTTGGTGTCGAATTCCACATTGCTGTAGACTAGTCCCATACTCATGGAGTTCTGGTTTCCAGGTGGGTCATTTTCATAGTCAGTATCAGCCTGAAATCAGAACAGTACAGAGTACAGATTGTAAGAGATACACTCCATTATGTAGGTCAACTGTCTGTCATATTCTGTGTCAAATTTAAACTTCAAATATTCACTTCCAGACAACCAAACAATTGTACAAATAACCATAATAAATATCTTATTTTCTGGTGTTATTATCTGAAGACACAGCCTGTAATATATTTATGTTAAAAATACTGGAATTAAAAAAAAAAAAAAAACTTCATTCACTTACTGTGCCTGTTCTCTCTGATCTTTTGTTAACATAGGCAGGATCTGCAGAAAACACAAGTCATGCAAATGTCCATTTCACTCCACTGGAGGAAGTGTTTGGCATTATACAAGTGTGGGACTCTATGACAGGACTTGTTTGTATTCTTATCTACTATCTGATTTCTAGCAGTAGTCTCAGACAAAGAGCTTGTCTGTGTCGTTGGCACACAGTGAAGGCATCACTTTATAATTTTGTGTATGATATAATATAATATGAATAGTACCTTGTGTTTTCTTGCATCTCAGTTTGTAGATCAGTGCTGATCCTCCAATCAGCAGCAGAGCCACACAGACACACACAGTGATAATGATAGAGGAACCTGGAGATGAAAGACAGAAAGAACAGACTATGACCAACTTTATCACATCACACCTTTTCAAACAACCAGAAAATCCTCTAGTTCCACTTCAGTTGCAGCTCCTGGTGTGGAGCCCTAAACTACTGAACCCCTGTCTGAAGACATTAAACATGAATATGGCATTAAAAAGGTAGTTATGAATAAAAACAGAGTTCTTACTGAAATTTTCTCCAGATGTGACTGATGTTGGCACCGTCGATGTAGGTTGTAGTTTGTAGGTTGTTCTGAATGCTGAAATGTTTTTAGATGTTATTTTTGATTCTCATAGTCATATTCTCATTTCATATATATATTTTTAAATGATTATTTAAACACAACGATTATTTAAACACAATCCAGTAAAACCATTGATATATACATTATTTTGGATTTTACTGTGATGTTGCTGTCTGTCTGCTCTATGAAACCAACTACACATTCAAACTATCCCTTTTAAAGCTTTTTTTTTTCTTAAATATGTCTGTCTGATGTATTACATTCATATAAATTGAAAATTAACCACATACTGCAGTCATCAGTAACTTTACTAACAAAAGACAGTAAGAAAAGTGAACTCACTCACCAGAAACCTGTAGCTGAATCTCTGGGAGGATAGAGTAATAATTGACTGACTTCCCTCCAATCCCAGCTCCGCAGAAATAAACTCCTCCATCATCTTCTCTCACATCACTGATTCTCACACTGACAACTTTAGAGCTTTTGTCATCAGAAATTGTGAATCTATCTTTCTGAGGCTCAGTGGTGCTGATCACTTGAATAAACTGTTGACCATTCAGTTTGAAGAAGTACTTGTAGCTGTCCTTAAACTCCTCTGGATATTGACAACTGATGATGACACCTCCCAGAAAACCAATCACAGTTTTTGGACTCACACAACATGGATCTGTCAACCATATAAAATACATTAAGTCCTCCAATAATTTAAACTGAGCAGTCATTTAGAAAAAAAAAACAAAAAAAAAAACATACTTGTACTTTCAAACAAGTTTTTGAATATTTATTATTACCATTTTTAAATATGTTTCATTTCAAAATATACAGCAGGTATTTCTGTAGGATTCCAGCGTTTCTCACCTGTATTTATTTTCAGTATCATATCATAATTCCACACTCCACTCCCTCCACACTGATATATTCCAGCATCCTGTAAACTCAGTGCTCTGTAGATCACTGTAAGAGTTCCAGGAAAGTCATGCAGAAAAATCCTGTCTTTATAAATCCATGTCGTCTGTGCTTGATTAGGTTTTATAAAAAAACATTCCTTCAGAGTATTTGGAGTGTTGTTTTCCTTGCAAAAATATTTAGTGTACTCTCCATACACTTGGTGATTGCAGTAGATTATGACAGTGCCTCCTGAGTAGCCAATCACATCAAAGCCCCTCGTACCTGCCAGTCAAAAAGGTTCTCACTTATCAAATTGATATCACTCAGATATCTGTCATTGGACACCTCCAAATTCCCTCATGTCTACAGTGCTACATCAAAATTACCAGTTAAATAAGAAGAAATATTCAAGGTTTGCCACTATTTCTAAGTTGTTCTTAAAATTTAAGCAAATTTGTGATATTGACGATTTTAAGATTTTTGTACAAAAATGTCCGATTTCTTATCCCTTCCATTGAAGCTTGTGTTCAAACGACTCTCAGGTGAAATTCATGCAAATATTTGAAAGATTCTACTTTTCACTCTTTCTTATAATATAATTTGTAATTAACATGTTTGTGTTACATAAGAAAAAAATGCAACATAAAAGCATATCCCCTAGTGGTCTCAGACTTTTAGATCCCACTGTTTTGCAGCACAACAATGAACTTCTTCAAAAATATTTAAATCCTGATTATATAGCTTTGAAAAATTGTATGTTAAATATACAAATTATTTCATTTGAAGTAGTATGACTGACCTGAGATCAGGAAAAGGGTGAAGATGAGGATTGTCATTGTTTTAGCTTCACTGATGTTCACTGTACTTCTGTGCAGTATCTTCTAAAATCTGAAAGTTTCGTTGTTTTTCTCCGAGTAAAAATTCTTTGTAATATGTAGTCCTGTCTGTGTCTGTCTCTGTCTCTCCCTCCTCTTCTCTATGGTTTGCTCAGTTCCTTTTTCTCTGATGAATGTCAGAGTTGCTCAACAGCTTCTTCCACCAGTACCAGATTAAACACAGTTATGTCCTGTGGTGTTTTGTACGTTCATTGCACCAGTCAGGTCTTGCCCTGATCCCTGGATCCATGATCTGTGCTCTATGCCATAACTTAACTTGTTCCACCTATCCTTTAAGGCCGCAGGCATACCAACCTGACACTTTGTTTATGTGTACAGTTCTAAATACCAAAACATATATTGGAATTATACCTCCAGTACCCTTTTGTCTGTCTGTCTTTTGTCCATGCCCTGCAAGACTTATCAACTAATCAATAAAATGTAAATACACTCTGATTTGTCTGTAATGACTGCTTATTTCCTAGACATGTCTGCAAAAAAATCACTGCTCTCACGTTCATTGAAAATAAGAAAAGTTTGCCATGAATTCTTATGACTATTAATTCAAGTTGTTAGTCGCCTCTCCTCCATCATCACATTGGAAAATGAAAGCTGAGCAAGAGTGGGTATTAGAAGGATCTTTTTGCTTTATTCATTGTATTTTGATCCAGTTATTCATCAGAATTTGAATAGTTTAGATTCTGAAATCTTTACTGTCTGTTGAAGATTACCACACCAAAAGCTCTACCTAGATCCTACAAACATTAAATAAAGACTTGTTTCACTTCTTTTTTTTATCCATAACACTGGAATAGGCTGTTGTAGCATATCTACCTCACTACTGGAGTTCACAGGGATCAATTCTGTTCCCCTTGTATCACTAATACCAGTAATAAGCTCACATAGATTCTCTAGTTTTAGTCTTCTCCTGACTTGACCATTGCAATTGCCTCCTTGCGAGCCTTACCTAATATGCCATAACTCCTCTACAGAGCATTCAGAACATTCTGGTCCATAATCTCTCAAAGTTCTCCAATGTGACTGAGATATTCACTGGCTTCTTTTGGAAGCAAGATTAAGATATAAAACTCTGGTTCTTACATTCCAGGTTTTGAAGGCCACAGCTTCTTACTGCCCCTACACCTTGGTTCAGAACAAATGGCCAAAAGTAGGTGGACATCCCTTTTAATTATGGAATTCAGGTGTTTCAGCCTCACACTTCTTTGCTTAAAGGAGTATAAAATCAAGCACATAGCTGTGCAATCTCATAGACAAACATTGGCAGTAGAATGGATGATACTCGATAGCTTGAGGACTTTAAACGTGGCACTGTCATAGGATGCCATTTTTGCCATCAGTCAGTTAGTGAAATTATTGCCCCCCCTAGATCTGCCCCGGTCAACTGTAAGTGCTAATACGGTGAAATGGAACCATCTAGGAGCAACAACAGCTCATCAGTAAAGTAACAGACTATGCAAATTCACAGAGAAGGGCCATTGAGTGCTGATCTATCTAGTGCATAAAATTCACATATTCTCTGTTGCATCACTCACTACTTTGGAACCAATGTTCACACAAGAACTGTGTGTCAGAAGTTTCATGATATGGGTTTTGCTGGCTGAGCAGCTGCACACAAGCCTAAGATTGTTACTGTGTCGGGTCGAGTGGTGTAAATTACACCGCCACTGAGCTCTGGAGCAGTGAAAACGTGTTCTTCGGAATGATGAATCACGCTTCACTATCTGTCAGTCTAATGCATGAATCTGGGTCTGGTGGATGCCAGGAGAACACTACCTAACAGAATGCATAGTGCCAGCAGTAAAGTTTGGTGGAGGAGGGATAATGAGCTTGGGCTGTTTTTCAGGGTTTGGGCCATTTAGTGCCAGTGATAGACAATGTTAATGCCACAGCATACAAAGATACCTTAGACAATTATATCATTCTAAAATTGTGGCAGCAGTTTGGTGAAGACCCTTTTCTGTTCTAGTATGACTGACATCCTATGCACAAATGCCAAGTGTCCACATACTTTTGGCCACAAAGTGTAGTAGCTTTGGTCTTTGACCTCTGGGCTCTTGTCATTTCCTTCCTATACTTAGGCTTGTTTTGCAAGTCACTCTAGATGAGAGTGCCTGCTAAATGAATATATAAAGACAATTAACTAAAGTACTGACAGTCTCTCCTATAATACTGTCATTTTCTCTCTTTTAATTCTTAATTTCCCCTTCTCTTTTTTCACTCCATTTGTTTTTCGCATCTTGCGTTCCATCCACCCCTTTCTCTACTTTCTCTTTCATCAACATCCACTTTTCCTGCTTCTCATTTCTCTCGTTTTTATACTTCTTAATCCTTACCTCTTCCCTTTCTCTTTCACCTACTCCCCCCTCTTCTATGACTCTTCCTCTCTCTTCCATCTTCCCTCAATCCAAATGAAGCTGATTAAATGATAAATAATAATCATTACTAATAAGTATCTTTAGAGTCATGTGTGTTACATAAATAGAGATACAGTGTCCTTCTCTCTCACTTCTGCTTTGTCTAAGACATGCACAGACACACTCAAACACACATACATACACAATCCTTCCCTGCATGTCTTATTGTTTTTTATTTTTTATTATTTTTTATTTTTTTGTAAACCTTCTTTCTTTCTTTCAGGTCAAATAACTAAATGATTGACTGAATTCATATCAGCATACCCTGTATGCGGTAAAGCAGCCCACCAAAATAAAATCAGACAGTGGTCGACATGTCGCCTTGTGGCTGTTTTCTGTGGTTTTGAACTCTACCAGAACTTCCTTGTTCCTCAAACTATATTGGACCACAGGCTGCCTCTAATGACAGTTTCTCCACAGTCATGATAGTCAATTAATGTTACATACAACTAGCTCCAAAGCACTGATATCTAGTTCATCTGTCCCTTGAATTAATATAAATTGGACTTTGGTAATATCTTCTGCCCACACCTGCAATTTCTTAGTTATCTTTGCCCCCACATTTTCCTTTGATATTTATATTAATTTTATAGTTAGGACAGCATCTTTCCTTTTGTGTAATATTGCTCATTTCTAGCCATCCCCCCCGTGCTAGCATATATAGAAATTTGTGCATGCATTCATTACATTCCAGTCAGACTACTGTAATGTTCTCCTATCTGACGTAATCAGACCTAAGAGTAATATGTAATATGGTATTTGTTGTTTTATACAGTATTCTGTAGCTCAGCATTGTGTGCCTCAGCCTCTTCGGTTTGCAATCATACAATCACTAGAAATCTCCCTATAGCAATAAAAAAAAATCTTCATTACTTCATTAAAGCTACTGATGTGAAGGCTAATAATTATAGAATTTTTATAAATATATATATATATATATATATATATATATATATATATATATATATATATATGTGTGTGTGTGTGTTTATGTAGTACTGTAGATTTGTTTATGTAGTGATGATTACATTTTTTATTTAAATATAGATCATGTTATCAAATTATTTTAAAGTCAGAGTTGAAAACTCTGAATCGTGTTTTCAGTGTGACAGTTCTCAAGGTTACACACTGATTTTCAGACTTTGGGACACATTTACTTCAAAACCATGGGATCTAACTGCTCACCATGTGGCCATAAGAGACAGGGATGCAGCTTCATTTTTCAAGTTGATGTTAAAATACAGGGGCGTGGCTAAAATAAGGATCCACCCACATACTAAAACTTTTTGTGTTTCAGTAGTGACATGAAAACATGTGGCAGCATTTTTTTAATAAAGTTTATAAAGTTAATTAAACTCGTGATAAATCAAAATCTTACAGTTTCTCTAGAAAAGTCTTTTAAAAAGTAAAATGCTGTACTATTTGAGTTAGTAGTTAAGATCTCATGACTTTTGTAACAAATTTCAACAACTTTTAAACACAATTGAAAAATTCTATTTGCCAAAAGTTATTCATTCTAACAATACATTTTAATTATTTATAACAACCTTGCAACCTTCATTAGAGAACAACTTTTTTTGTTTTTATATTATGGACTATTGTAGCCACAGTGCTGTAGCATGTGTTTAATTGGTAAGTGGTCTGCTGGAAAGCATTAAGCTAAATCTAAGATCAAGGTTATTTAATTTGTGTGAGAGAACATCCAGAGAATGAGGTGCTCTTGGTGGCCTGTTAGTCCAGCCCTGTAGCCCCTGTGCTTATTTTGTGTTTTCTCTCCTCTAATACACAGATTTAGCTAAAGAAATGGTTGATAATTAGCTAATGCAATGTGACAGTGACATGAGATTTTAGCAGATAACAGTGAATTGACCAAGACTGACAGACTTTTCCAAACCTGTCCCTCACCATTCTCACTTCATTATAGATTGTGACTCCATTCAAAGGCAACTTCTAATTATGGGAGGGAGTTCACTGGTTAACCTTTACAATACATAAGCAAAATGAGAGCTTCTGTCAGTTCAGAGAGTTTTATAGTCCACTCACTTGCTCCTGTCTGCTTTGGGATCACTCTCTATATGGCAAGCTCTCTATGTGAACACACACACGGAAGCAGAGTGGCTATGCTAAGAGTGTAGGGGCTGGAATGAGACTGGGGCAAGTGTGTGCTCTCATTTTGACAATAGTGCATTCTGTCTCCATCTTGTGGACACATAGTGTACTACAATGTCACATTGGTCAAAGTGTACTGGTCAAATCTCACACTGACCTGTAAGAAATAAAATGTTATTCAATTAAAGGTAGAGATACAGAGGAATTTACATACCTGGAGGAAACCCAAACCCCACATAAGGGGGCTCAGTGAATGTGGATTGGAATGTGTATATGTGGACTAGCATGTAAGAGGCTAATTGTGATGCTGCAGAATGATAGAGTGCTGGCTGGCCCAGCCAGATAAACTCCTGCTTTGGTGGATCCTGAAGGCAGGGTAGGTGTCATGGTTTTCTTGTGCTTGTGTTTGGCAGTGTATGTCCGGTTTTCACAAAGGAGACTCCAAACGTTTTCATAAAGGCACAGATCACAATCAGCCCTTTTCTGTTTATTCCTTTGAAAGTTATTCCTACTTCAGCCCCCATTTAGTCCATTCGGCCTTCCAGTAACATCATCCAGACAGACTCTCCTTATACAGCACTTGAGGCATCCCATTGAATGTCTC